TATTTTATCTCAAATTACTTGCAAAAAAAAAAATCATGGTTTCATGAAACAAACCTTAATTCTCTTTCCAAGTTGAAGTTCAACCTTAGCTTTACAAAACCCTAAAACATCCTCATACAAACTTCTCATATATCAAATATATGTAACAAAAGCAAAATTAAACTTGAATCTTGAAGGAGACTTAATTTTATTACATTTTTTCTCTGAATATCTCCAGACTTCCAGCGAATCTTTCTCGAGCTGATAAAGTTCTTGTTGTAGAAAGAGTGATCGAGTCTTTAGGCCTTCAACACATAAGAAACTCTTTAGTTGGAACAGTAGAAAAACGAGGGATATCAGGGGGACAAAGAAAGAGAGTAAATGTGGGTTTAGAAATGGTTATGGAACCTTCTCTTTTAATTCTAGATGAACCCACTTCCGGTTTAGACAGTTCTTCTTCTCAATTACTTCTTAAAGCTCTTCGTCGTGAAGCCCTTGAAGCTGTTAATGTGTGCATGGTTGTACACCAACCAAGGTACGTAACCTTTATTATTATTATTATTATTATTATTATTTATTATTATATTAAATTAAATAGGAATAAGTTTCCAAAATACCCCTCAAATTAACATGTAACATTATGTTTTTCAGTTATAGCTTATTCAGGATGTTTGATGACTTAATCCTTCTAGCAAAAGGTGGACTTGTTGCATACCTTGGACCTGTAAAAAAAGTGGAAGAATATTTTTCAGGAATTGGGATCGATGTTCCAGAACGTGTAAATCCACCAGATCATTATATTGATATATTGGAAGGAATGGTCAAATGTTCGGTCAACTACAAAGAGCTTCCGGTCAAATGGATGCATCATAACAGTTACCCTATACCCCTAGACATGAGAGATTCAGATTCATCTGAATCCGGTCAGGATTCTGTTGGAGGTTCATCCACCTCAGCTGCCCACCAATCTTATGCAGTGGAATTATGGCAGGAGTTTAAGCTTTTTGTTCAAATGAAAAATGATGATTTTTTAAGTTATTTTAAAAGGAGGAAAGATTTGTCTAATCGTGTTACCCCGGGTGTACTTCGACAATATCGATATTTTCTAGGGAGGTAATTTATAAATATTTTATCTTTCTAATTCGTTGCACCGTTTTTGATACCAAGTACTATATTCGTTTTGTCTTGAAGTTATAAGTATATTTTTAAAAGCACCTTTTGCCTCGTATAGCCAAAATAAAGCATTTCTATATAATTTATTTCGAATTAATTCCGTGTGTTTTATTTAAATATGTATTGTGCTTTAAGATATTAAAGAGTATTATCTTTTTAAATAAGTTTGAAACGTATAAGTTAAATGTAACATATATCATAAACTAATGTCACGGGCAAAATAAGAAAAGTCCATATATTTTGTTAATTTTTGTGGTTTAACCATTAATTTAGGGCAAAATACAGGAAAGCCACTTTATTTCAATTTGTTCAATGAAAGCCACCCAAGTTTGATGAAAAAAAAAATTATGTCGGCCACTTTGAACTGTGATATCAGTTTAAAGTGGTTGCAATAGAAAATTTTGTTAAAGTTTAGGGGCTTTGGTGAAATATTTAGTGTCAAAATTTTTACTAAAGCCATTCAACAATTTTCTATTGTAACTATTTTAACCTGAGGTCAAAGTTATCACCATAGAAAAAACTGTCAAACTTAGGTGATTTTATTAGTGGAACGGAAATATAGCTCGTCAAACCATAAAAATAACCAAAATATATTGGCTTTTATGTACTTTTGCCCTTTTTTATAATATAATATTACAAGTAACAAATCATATTATATATACTATATGATTATATAATAATAACAAGTGAACAAAATTCAAAGTTAAAGGACCAAATTGTACAAAATAAAATTTTAACACCAAATTTGGTATTGGTTGGAGATGCTAGTGTTTTCATATGCAAATTAAAATTCTGGAATTTTTATGGGCATGTGATGAAGTTTTAGCATATAAGTTTGTTCAATTTGCATTAAGGTATCTTTTTATTTTACATTTTTTGGCTCATTTATTTTAAATATTTTTTTTCCAGGGTGGCGAAGCAAAGAATACGAGAAGCTAGGCTACAAGCTGTGGATTATTTGCTTTTGTTGATAGCTGGAATTTCTTTAGGAACACTCGCTAAAGTGAGTGATGAAAACTTTGGGGCAGTTGGATATACTTACACCATCATTGCTTTTTGTAAGTTTAAAAACTCAATGTTTTTTTAGCTTATTACAATTATAAAAATAATCAATGTTAGGTAGCTATCAATAAATTAAATTCCCAGCTTCCCAAAATAAATGCAAAACATTTTCTTTTTTAAATGAAAACCCAGATTACCTCTTTGTCTTTAGTAATCATCACAAAAATAAATTTGCACGGATCATAAGAAAATATTAATGGCATTGATTTCAATGGTCCCCAATACTTTTTTTTGGTCATATAACCTTCCCATTTTTTGTTATTTTCGTGATTAACCTTAGAAGAAATCGAACTGATGCAGGTTTGTAATAGTATTTTAATAAAGAAAAATCTAATTTTGTATATATTTTTTTGCTGACTTTCAGCTTTACTCAGCAAGATTGCGGCTATGAGATCATTCACATTAGATAAATTACAATTCTGGAGAGAACGCTCTTCTGGAATGAGTTGCTTTGCATACTTTTTTTCAAAAGATACAATCGACCAATTCAACACAGTAATAAAACCCGCAGTTTACCTCTGCACATTTTACTATTTTAACCCTCCAAGATCCTCCATCGTCGATAATTACATCATCTTACTTTGCTTGTTGTACTGTGTGTCTGGGTTCGCTTATGCCCTTGCTATCTACCTCGAAGCTGGTTCTGCCCAATTAGTGAGTCAAAATTACCTATTTGCCCTTTTACCGATTGTTAGAAAAGATCAATAACATTGATTTAATAATTTTTTTTTGGGGTTTATAGTGGTCGGTGTTGCTTCCTGTTGTGTTGACCCTTATTGCAACTCAAGATGATGAGAAGGGATCGATTATACCTTTTATAAAAAAGTTTTGTTACCCTGCTTGGGCTTTGGAAGCATTCTTGGTAGCTAATGCCGAAAGGTTTGACATCATTTTATTTTTACACTTTTTGATTTTTTTTTTTAGTTGTAAAAATAAAATCACACCACCCACTACAACTTTGTAAAAATAATTATACTTCCAGCAAACTTTTAGCTGACCCACTATCATCATAGCATCATAAAGTATACAACAGTCTCCTAGCTAGTCTCCTAGCTGGTTGACATAAGAGCCAAATGGCCACATTTGAATTAGAACTCCCCTTTTCTTTTCATTATGATGTAAACAATCTTAACCAGACTAAATGACTATTTTACCTTTACATTCCAACAAACTATTTTCATTCTAACAAACTATTTTACCCTTACATTTCAACAAACCATTTTCACAATTTTAATGAGACTAAATGACTATTTTACCTTATATTCCAACAAACCATTTTCAACTAACTATTTTACCCTTTACATTCCAACAAACCATTTTCACAATCTTAATGAGACTAAATGATTATTTTACCCTTACATTCCAACAAACCATTTTCATTCCAACAAACTATTTTACATTTACATTCCAACAAACTATTTTCACAATCTTAATGAGATTAAATGACTATTTTACCCTTACATTCCAAAAAACCATTTTCAAAAAAGGAATATAGTTAAAAGGGTTGGTGTCTAGACACACTAAGCTATGTTTTTTTACTTAACCCATCAAGTCATTCTATCTGGATTAAGTTAAAAAAAAAAAGAAACAATCATATATAGTTGTCCACATTAAATGCTTACTCATTAAGTTCATTAAGTAAAAAAAGAAACAAATTTTATTAAATAATTTTCTTTGTAATTGCTAAATTAGGTATCGGGCAGTGTGGTTGCTGACAAGATGTGCAGCAATTGCGAAGAGAGGTTATGATCTGAGGGACTGGAAATTTTGCTTAATACGATTAATGGTGGCTGGTTTAGCTTTTCGTATTTTAGCTTTATTTTTATTAGTAGCATTCCAGAAGAAGTGAGTAAATCCAGGCTGGCAAAAATAATAAAAAACATGAAATCATAAGAATACGGTAACCTTAAATGCAAGAATCTTGGAACAATGATCTTTGCCAGCTCGAAATTTTTCAAGTTTCTCAAGAGTCATGTGATATGATGAAGCAGTGATGGATGGATAAGATCAACAAGTGATTATTGTATCTATCTGTAAATTTTAATGTGAATAGACTGTTTGTACAAAGATGGATTCATGAATAGATTGTGTATATAATGTGAAAAAAATATGGTAAGGAGTATTATACTTATATACATATAGAAGTCATTTGTGTTGTATTTATTGCAAAACTCATATCGTGTAAATGAGTTGTCATTTGTGAGTTACACGTGTTGTAAAATATTCTTGAAGGTTGAAGTTGCAAGAGTTGTTCTTGAAGATTGAAGTTGTGTTCTTGGTTGTGGTGATTTGAAGGGTTTTTTTTTTTTTGGAGGAGGTTTAAGGAGGGTATTTGGAGGGTATTTAGAGGGTGTTTGGAGAGTATTTTGAGGTTGTTTGGAGGTTGATATAAGGTGGTGATGGTGGTGAAAGTTTATGAAGATTTGATGCGTTTGATGGGTTGAAGATGAACACCTTGAGTTTGAATGAAGAAGATGAAGATGGTTGATGTTCTTCATTTTTGGTTGTTGTTGATCTTGATGTTCTTGGTTGGGAGAGTTTTTTTTTTTGTGTATGGAGATGTAGCTAGAGGTATTACAAAGAAAAAGAACACACACGAACTATATCTCACTTATTCTCTATACATACACATGTATACATATATGAGAGAACAAGAATCTTCTTCACTTGAGTGTTTGTTGAAAGTAGTGGCTGCAAGTTGTAGTAGGGTAGGAGGTAAGAACGTGGGAGTGGGTTTTGCTTTTTCATTTTTAATTCTCCACCGAGAGATATGAGTTTAAATTCAATTAATGAATTGAATTTTCATATTTGACCTTGAGTTTTTGAAGTCTTGACTTTTTATCTCTTGATTTGTTTTGTCTTCAAACGATCAAATATGCGGCTATTTTTCCGTCTTTGCGTATTTTTGTATTTCATAATTAAGCACGAATCCATACAACCTGAAATAACTGATAATATTTGTTAGATAATATAAAAACAGTTCGTATTATTTCAGTGATGGTCACATACAAAAATAATTTTCAACAATTTCCCCATATGTGATCATTACTGAAATAAGGACAGGTATGATATAATTATATTGACAGTTCTGAACTTTTGAAGATTCAAGATAAAATATTTGTCAATAGATAAGATATATAAAACATAGTGATTGTTTTGAAAGTTTGTGACTTGTTTAACATATCTTATGTAAAAGATTTTCAGAAATTTGTTTCCGAATCAAAGTCTCGGGTTCGGTTATCAAAGGGTAGCTATATATGTATCTAAAGAAATTTCTTTAGATTTTATAGCATTATTAACGACGACAAGTGGTCTAACAGGTCGATTCAGATGAACGCTCATAGGTATAGCTCACACTTCCCTTGGGTGTTTGGTTGTTCTGGCAGCAGAACAAGTTAATGATCACTAAAAATGAGTGATATCTCTCTCTGACGACTCACACTCATATTGGAGGTGTTCAGCTATGTTTTTCCTGAAAGGTCACTTAGTCTCATTATTAGATAATCAATCACATAAGACTGGTTACTGCATTACTCAGCGGGTTTCTTCATTTATGCCATTAACTTTGACGCTCTCTCCGTCGGGAAATACATGTAGAGGGGTTTAGCAATTTTCATAGTGCAGTTTGCATCTAAGAATCTTCAGTGATGAAGGCTACAGTATCCCGGGAAATCCATTGTTGTTGGAGCTTCTTCTTTGGTGGTATCATGTTTGTTGATCAATATCGATTTATTGTAAAAAGATATTTTGTTTTAGCATCAAGAATTTGCTACATTTGAGAAAATTGGGTTTTTTGTGAGTATCTGTCTTGCGGGATTAAGATATATTCTTTTGTGAAAAATGGCTAAAAACAGATCACGGAATCTTATGATGTTTGTTTTGAAATAACCATTTGGTTGAAAAGTTTGTTTGAAAATACCAAATGTAGAATATTTTTGTTTTCTTTGGTATTTCTTCGGTGAATGATTTGGCCCTTTTTGTTGATTCGTCTTTATCTTGATTCGTCTTTGACGATTGGATGTGGATAGATCTTTGTTTTTCTTTGATAAGTGATTGTTGAAGTCTTTTTCATTTCGTCTTTTCTTGTTGATGGATCACGGGATATCAAGACTTCATTTTTGGTTGGCTTATATCTAGGTAGGGATTGGTGGCATAAAAGACAGTTTGTCTAGTATGTAAGAAATGAATGTATCGTCCCTGGTCATTTTGATATCTAAGCAAAAATGAGACCGTGACAATGTATAATCGGATATGCCTTATAAGCAATAGTGACACACCTAAGCTCACAAGAAATGAATTCCACAGTGATATAGATTGACGAGGCACAAATTCTCACATGAGTTTTTGTTTTCATCTGAACCTCCTAACCTTATGTCCCTTGATTTTTTTAAAATCGTCAATAATGAAATAAAATCGAAGGAAATAAAGTTATATACATTATGAAAAGTATGAGATTTGAACCTTCACTCCAATTGAGAATCAATATGACTTAAAATCTTCATCGAGCATAAGCATCTGAAAATTAAGTCAAGAGACGATTAATCACAAGGTTCTATAAAAGCTTATTATGGCAAGTCTTTTATTATTTTTGAAGATTTGTTTTTCTGAATGTTTTTGGAAATATTGGTTATTTGAATGTTTTTGGAAATATTGGTTATTTGAATGTTTTTGGTATTTTTGAAAGGAAAGCAATTTTAATTGTTTTTGAATTTTCTTTTTGAATGAAAGTAAACACACTTTTGTACAAAAAAAAAAGTAAAAGTTTAAGGATGGATGTTATCTGGATTTAACATTCCTAGACAGCCTAGGAAGTATTGAAACTTTGTTTCATCGAGAGCCTTAGTGAAGACATCGGCAATTTGATCTTCGGAGTTGATGAAGTGTAGTTCGATATGACCCTTTTGAATGTTGTCTTTGATAAAGTGATATCGAATGTCGATGTGCTTTGTCATGGAATGGTGAACGGGATTGTGAGAAATGGCAATTGCACTGGTTGAGTCACAAAATATGGGAATTTGTGAGATTTTGAAGCCATAGTCACGCAGTTGAGTTTGCATCCATATGACTTGTGAACAACAGCTGGCGGCAGCGACATATTCAGCTTCTGCTGTTGATGTGGATACACAAGTCTGTTTCTTTGAAGTCCAACTCACTAGTCTACCTCCTAGGAATTGACAGCTACCAGATGTACTCTTCCTATCTAGCTTGCATCCTCCGTAGTCTGAGTCGGTGAAAGCGTTTAGCTGAAAATCGGATTTAGCTGGATACCAAAGGCCAAGTTTGGGAGTGCCTTTAAGGTATTTGAAGATGCGTTTCACAACAACTACATGGGATTCCATAGGATTTGCTTGGAATCTGGCACACATACATGTAGAAAACATGATGTCAGGTCTGCTGGCAATGAGGTATAAGAGTGATCCGATCATTCCATGATATCTTTTCTGGTCAACGGGTTTTCCATTTAAGTCTGCATCAATTTTGTATCCAAAGGCCATTGGGGTTTTTGCGGTATTGGATTTGTCCGTTGAAAAGCGAGTGAGTAGGTTTTTGACATAATTTCTTGGTTGATGAAAATGCCATCAGTTGACTGTTTGATTTGAAGTCCGAGAAAAGTAGTCATCTCCCCAATCATGCTCATTTCAAATTTGCTCTTCATTAGATCTGCAAACTTAACACTCAAAGATTCATCAGTAGAACCGAAAATAATGTCATCAACATATATTTGTACGATTAACAGATGTTTATTAAATATTTTACGAAAGAGGGTTTGATCGATTGAACCTCTTTTAAAACCTGATTCTTCGAGAAAGGTTGACAACGTGGCATACCAGGCTCGGGGTGCTTGTTTTAATCCATAGACAACTTTCGGCAATTTAAAGCTGTGATTGGAATTTGGGATCTTCGAAACCTGGTGGTTGTTGGATGTATACTTCGCGATCTATCTCTCCGTGTAGGAATGCACATTTAACGTCCATTGGAATACTTTGAATTCTTATGTGCAGCATATGCAAGAAAGATGTGAATTGCTTCAATTCTGGCAACTGGAGCATACGTTTCATCGTAGTCGATTCCCTCTTGTTGTGAATATCCTTTGACTACAAGAATGCCTTGTTTCGACAAATGATTCCTTGATCGTTAGTCTTGTTTCTGTATACCCATCTTGAACCTATAACAGTAACATCGGGTGGAGTAGGAACAAGATTCCATACGTCGTTTCTTTCAAATCTGCTAGCTCTTCTTGCATAGCTTTTACCCAGTCTGGATCTTTGAGAGCAGAATGTATGGTTTTGGGTTCAGTCATGGATAAGAAGGCTCCAAATAAACATTCATTTGTGGATGCGGCTCTAGTCTGAATGCCTGGTTTGGGATCTTCGATGATTTGGTCAGTAGGACGATTTCTGGTCCACTTTATTAAGCGATTCTCTTCCGCTATAATAATTGGAGTTTCAGTATCCCATTGTTCTTCTCCGGGTGTTTCATCTTGGAATAGGTTTGAAGGTTCCCCCATAAATGATGCATCGGGATTGTTTTGTCTATTTGGAGATTGGTGATCAAAGGAGGATTTGGTTTTGTTCCAAAGAGGAAGTATGTGTTGGTGGTTCCCCCTCGAATTGATCTGCATCATTTTGGTTTGTTTGTGGAGTTCCTTCAGTGGGTGTTCCTGTAGGATCAATTGAAGTAGTTAGAAGTTCAGAATGTAAGCGGTTTTTGGTTGTTCAAAAAGTAAATCAATATCGATTTCAATGTCTATGTCAGGAGAGGGTTTGTTGAATTGGATTTTGAAAAATATTTTCAATCATTTTAGAACCAAATGTTCACGATCCAATTTTCTGACATAAAATTCATCGA